AGAGCGAAACAGAAAAGAGAACAACACCTGCTCAAAGAAACTTTGATTGGGTTTTATATGATTTTGCAGAGGCAGAGAACTGCCCGACGTCTTTTCGGCAAAGTATGTCAATAATTTTCGTAAAGACATTATTGCATCTGCTCGTTTAAGACTTCTAAGACTTGGCTTCTTTTCCATAGTAAATTGCCAATTGGAACTTGAGTACTCGCTCCTGCTTTTCTACAAGTTGTTGCTAGAATAGGTGTTGAATGTTTCGACTTACAGATATCCTGAGTCCATGAAAAATAATGATCTATGCTAATATCTATGCCAGCTTAACAGCTGGGGTTCAAGTTTTCCCAAAAATAGATAGACGTACATGGACTAGTCTGTTGACTCTCCCAAATATCAAATACATATTACTTGACTACTTCATGATGCCGAAGATTATTCCATTTCTAATTTGCACTCGGCTGGTCAAAATCAGTACACACTCGGAAATTGAATAATTTCCATTCTTCTTGTGGATTAATCAATGACTCCTTTGTGTTCCAAATCTCGTCCGTAGATTCTCTTAGCTCAAATTTAGAGCTCCCCAGCTCCCTGATCCACCAAAGAAAGCGAGGGAAGGGTAGAATGAGAGGTGGAGAACCAACCCAAACACTTACTTACAAAAGTATTTTACCGTTACGCACTGCCCTGTGTCACAGCAATGGGACCTCCCCAATTTCATGGCACCCAAATTGTTCTTAGTTTGGGGTGGGGTAGGGGTACGGGCAGGGGCTTGGGTTGTTTGGGTTGGGAATTTTAATATTAAGCTAAGCTGTCTCTGCTTCTTCTACAGAATTTTGAGAGTTTCTTGTTGAGTTTTCCACCCCTGCCCATTGCGGAAAAGTTTTTTATCTACAGCCAAATAGTTTTGGACTATTTCTCCATCAATTTTATTGGTAATACTTAGACAAAAGTTTGTCCACATTACACGCACATAGTAGATAGGGACAGTTAGAGTAGAAAGGGAAGACAGAGAAAACAGAGAGTCCGAGATCCTTATATGAAAGGATTCAATGCGTAAAGTTGGTTGAGTTGGGCATGAGATTTCTTTTTTAATTTTATCGGTATAAGAGAAGCTTTTTGTACATCTTTTTTTTTTTGATAAATTTCAAAGTAATGCCCTTTCAGCGGAAGATGAATGCTGGAGAAGAACAAACTTATAAAATGGGTGCCAAATGCTCGTCGACCTAATTTTAATTATTGGCTTTGGTATTCGTCCCCTTCTCCGACTTCATCTGCCCCTTTTTCTTTATGCTGCGACAATTGAGTGCGGAAAGTTTTGCCCACTTGTAATTATCACTCACAACATGTAGTCGAGCATCCCTTACTTTTCACTGTAACCACACCACCCATCTCTCATTCAGGTTAAACACCTGACAAACTGACAACTACAAACGGAGGCTCAACCTCCCCCACACACACACACACACACACACACACATGCAGTTTAATTAATAGACATCGCAAAGTGCTACACCTCTCAGCGGGGAGTACGGGTACCCGTATATTACCCGTGCCCCAAAATTGACATGATGTAGCACAATTCTGGCCACAATACTAACTTACATTTTAAGCCAATTTGAAAATGGCAACACAAAAAAGAATTTCCATTTTCACAGTTAAATACAAATTAATTACAACAATTTATCGTCGTCGTCGTCGTCGCACCAGCCGCAAAAAATGTTTGGTAATGTTTGCTTGGAGAGGAATCGACAGGTAGGTTACCCTAGACCGCGTTAGTCAGGTTCACCTTCCATATGACTAATATAAATATATACGAGTCGATATAGCCATTTTACCGCCTAGATCTCAGAGATTGTAAGAGCTGGAGCATCCGAACATTATGGGGAGACTCCTGTGGTATCACTGAATCAAACTGGTTAGAAGATACGAGAAATGGAAAGCGCAGAATCATATGAAATGATAAGAGATGATTGATCATAGAGAATGAATAATACAGTGAAAATTGGTACGAGATAGTTTTGTTTTTACCAGCACAAACAGGTGTTGTGTTAACCCAACAACTCAACCCAAATCGGACTAAAACGATCTCCACCGTTTGCTTTAGTGCTAAATTTAAGCAATATTCCACTGTGGCCCTACGGTCGTTCACAGTTTTCTAAAGGGTACACAAACGAAAGCAGTTACAAGGCGAACAACCCTCGGGACAACTGTCCACTTACCGCACCAGTCCAAAGCCTGGTCGTTATATGCGGCTTGCTGCTGTTAAAACGCAAATGTTAAACCCTTTCGGTAATGCAAAATAATTGCTACGGTTCGTGGTCCGAGTTTACCAGTATTCCGCAGAAAAAAATGTTCACAAAAAGAGAGCAGAACAAAAAAGAAAAACGTCAAAGCGTAATATTATGTTCCCACTCCCGGTTGCTGGCTAAAGTTTGGGTTAACAGAAATTAGAGCAACGGAAAAGAGGGCGTGTGCCGGGTTCCGTTTCATTTAGTTTTCAGTTTCCACCTAATTTACCCAATTGGGTAAAAGTGCTTTGTCATAATCAGCCCGGGAGCAAGGTTCGCATATCTAATGAATGAATGGAAGGGTGGGACGTGGAAGCTAAAGAGGAGGCGCTGGACCAGGCTCCATACAGTAAATGTTCCAGAATGAATAGCCGGTATGGGTATTAGGTCTTCGGCTTTCTCCGCTAGGCACATATTTACCGAGTTGCTAATAGGCTGTCACATAATTAGCCCTGAAACAACCTAAATCGGACCACCAACCTCCGAAAAAAAGGGTAAGGAAAACAGCTAGAATAAAATGGAGATACTGACATCAACATTGGCTTTGACTGAAGTCAAAGATGACCAAACGATAAAGTCCAAAGATGTCCTAATGAATTTTATGTCAGATTCGGGGATTCTGCCCTTTTCCTGATAGGGCTGGGGATGGGGGCTTTTTGTAGTCCTTGGGGGAGAGATGTAGAAATTTTTTAGGAGTGTTTACTTCCCATTAAGATCAAGGGTGAGGAGATTGAAATGAGATTTATATGAATGACCCAAGCTCATATTTTAAGAAAATAAAAAGGAGTAAAGAATAGATTATCATAAACAGAATTCCTAAAATCCTAAAATATGTATAAATCGTAGGGGGTAATTGTCCATGAAAGAGTATCAAATTGTTACCCACTATTTACCTACGAATATCGAGGATGGCCTGAGAGGGTGGAAATAAGTGTGAGTTAATATTTAGCCCGTCTGATTTACCTAAATGTTCCCTATTTCTCTATGTGCAATTATCACCATAAATAATCACCTACAAATCAATACTCAAATTGAAAATAAGGAATCCCTTGACCGTCATTTAAAGATTAGGGAATAGGAAGATTCCTTCCATGGGCAACCGACCCGGACCCGTGCATAAATTTCAGCTTGTTGAATGCCTCTTCTTGTTTTCTTTACTCCGTTCGCGCCCCTGCCAACCCATTTCATTTCTATTAAACAGATAGAAGCCACCTCCTTCTAATGTTTACCTGATTTGAGGTAAAAATGCCCTGCGCCTTCCCAGAGGTCGCATTAGACAGAACCCGAGACTGACTTTGAAAAATGGTGTGGCAGACGATTGGAGGGAGTCGCCTGACCAATCCGAAAACCCCACCCCACATGCCTCAAGCCAGGGGCTGCATAAAACAGTTTGCATTAAGCGCATTTTGCATGACTGTGTTGCAATTAACGATGCAGAGCAGCTGCAATCAATCGCAATATACGAACATATATATTTCTGATATACTCGTATATGCATATGTATGCACATATACGTAAAAATACATACATATTTGCGAGAGGGAATGCAATTCGATGATTATTGTTTCAACGCCTCAATAATTCTGAAAATGTTTTTTTTTGTTTTAAAAAAATGGTTACAAAAAAAAAATACAGCACAAACAGCATTGAAAAGGGGAGAGAATCAGAATCGAGCAAATATTTGCTGCAGCCAACCCAAACTCTGTTCTCTGACTGTGACTTTGTTCTGGCCATGTTGTAAGTTGACCATGAGAGATGACCATGATGACGATGATGATTGCCATGGCTTCTGCATACGTATGTACATATGTATGTACATATGTATGTATATGTATGTACAAACGAGTATATGGCAATGGTCAATGCTAATTGCCAATTATGGACAAATTCGTTCGAGCGCGAAATTAAATTAACCCCTTTTTTGCGCTGACCCCTGCCTGGAATCCTCCCAAGCCGAGCACACAAAAATCTGCAATCCTCAACCGCGTCATCAATCAGCACCAGCAACAGCAAAGGAAGCAGCAACAGCAGGCCAGACGAGGCGACAAAACACAAACTACGCGATGTGCGAATATGAAATATTTATGCCCACAATTCACTGAACTGGTGCGGAACGGATGCACGGCATAACCGAATTGGTTAAAGGCTTGCTAGATGAAGGCCGAGACCAATTTGTTCCTTAAAGTAGACAGTCGTTCTTTAAACATGATCAAGATCTATACTATAAATTTGTAGAAAAATCTGTGTTAACGGCTATCTCCGCAACGCGTGTTCTGTAGAACAGACCATTTTATGATAGGTTTGGTTTTTATACCCTTTTGTATGATTTGTTGCTTTTGATTATCATTGTTTAATTTCGATGAGTTCCTAAACATTAAATGCATTTAGTAAGCAGCGAAGCGCGCGGGTCTGCTAGTATTTGATATATTCTTCCAATCTCTTGTAGAGTAACCCCCATTCAGCAACTCGCCATTCGATACTACAACACTTGCTTATGTTTTATCCGACCAAACAAAAAACAGACGAATGTGAACATATCGATCTGAAATTTTAAATTCAAAAGCCCAGAAAGCAGCGGATAAAAAACGAAGCCAACGAGTATAATACCCCGCAAACACGTTAAGTGGCGAACAGGATCGGAATGATTCAGGACCTTTCCACCACCACAAGTCAGGGCATTGAATACATATATAATACAAGTTTGTGATAGTTTCCCTTGAAATTAATGTAATTTCATTTAATTTTTGTCATGGCTTTCGGCGGGCAGAAAGCCCTTTTAAGTTTTAACATTTTTAACAACAGTTTAACAACACGCATCGCGGCAGATTTTCCATGTTTGGTTATGACAATGAATGTAATACGGGGGAATTATATTAATTTTTCGATGCTGCTGCTCCTGTGGCATGGTCTGACAGCGGACACGAGTACATGGGAAGCGAGGTATAAACATGATTCAGAAAATACTGTGTGCATTGTCTTACCGCATCAGAAGCAATCGTTGTCAATGAATTCAATTGAAAGCACTGAGCGGGAGCCTCAAAGGGTAGACAGCCACAAGAAAAATAATAAAATACAAAGTAAATTCGAAATGGGCCTTCCCAAAACTGTGATTAACTTTGTGCAAAGAATTGTGTATGGAGCAAGAAACCAAATTGTCGATTTCTTGCCAGCGCCTCTCCATTCAAGGGGCTTCTTTATCGGGAGTATCCTGCCTAAGCATCCTCTTCTTCGCCCAATGCTTCTTCAGAGGGAGGACGCAGCACGGTCACCGTATAGCCTCCCGATGGCGCTGAACGGGTGTGAGTGCTCCGCATATTGAGGAAGCGATGACGCATACGTTCCCTGCGCTCCTGATGGCGCTGCTCGATGAGCTCATCAAAATTCACTGGGGAATAAATGGGGTGCTTTTTTAGATATGGTCATGTGGAGATGGATTCAGAAAGCTTACGACTAGCGGATTCAGATCTGGAAGGTCTACGCAGCCGCGGTTTGTCCTCCTCCGAGTCGACCAGGGGCTCATGGAAGGTCAGTCGCGAGTTGTTCTCCTTAGTGGTCTGATGCTGGTAGTCCGCGAAGCTAGCGCTGGTGGACTGCCTGTCCAACATATGATTGAGAAAGTTGTCGCGCCCACTCCTGTTGGTTGAAGTCGAGTCTCGGGATATATAGAATCGCTGTACCAAAAGATCGAGGTGCTTAAGTCAGTTGTGGACCAAACCAGCCCAATATGAATACCTTTTGATCCGAGTTGTTTGCTTTGTTGTAGTCCAGTTTGGCTGTAGAGGCCTCGGGAGGGCCCGTCCGCTTCGCATCCTCGGCATAGGGAAGCTCGTTGGGGAAGACTTCGTCCCAATACTGATCCTTGACCAGTTCCGGATGCTCCTGATGCATCTCATCGACTATCAGATAGGAGACTGTCAAATTACGATCAATCATCCAATTGAGCTGCGAATAGCAGAAAGTACTGCGAATACAATAGTGTTGGATGAAACATATACAGTCCGGACAACCTCAAAGTCATCGTCGTCCTCGCCAAAGGGGTTGATCAGCGACTCAGCCACCTTCAGCCAGCCCATGTAGAAGAAGAACTGCAGAATGGTCAGAAAGGGAAACCATTGCACGACTCGATTGGGCTCGCCGCCAGTATCACTGATCTGTGTCCACTGCTGGCCGATCACGCTAAACAGGAAGAAGGTATAGGTGGCCAGGGTAACCACTTGGGTGTACACCAGCGGAACACTGACCCAATCGTAGTACAAAAGGAATCCACAGTAGCCGCGGAACTTGTTCAGTTCGTCAATGATTGTTTTGACTGCATAATCATCTCGTATCTTGTTCTCCTTTCTGGCTCTCATCACTATGCTAGCGGCCCAGACAATGGGCATCCAGTGCTTGGGATAATGGGGAAAGGCGACATCCAAGTTCTCGATGATGGCCTTTTCGTTCTCCAACAACAGCCCAGACTCGATGATCTGACTGTAGGTGGGAAATCTCTTCTTGACATTCGGCGATATCATCGTGAAGACAATCACCTGGCACAGACACACGTATCGCAGTACGGTGCGACGCATGGCCCGAGCCCGATCGTCGAACCCCTGGATGCTGGAGCTGACCAAGATGGCTATGGAGTCCGGCCAGGGAATGGTCGTATACTGCTGCCACCAGCGGCCCATCACAATGGAGACATAGAAGCCGAGCACAAAAGACAGCGGCAGGAGGTTGCCATGCGTACTGCAATAGTATACAATGCCCTCGAAGACCCTATCAGTTGAGGTTGGTTCTTAGTTAGGGAAGGATCTGGGATGATAGAGACACCAACTTTTGGCCATTTTCAGTCATCAGCGTTCGATAGGAGAGGGCCACTAGGCAATACAGTCCAAAGAAGATAATCAGATCTATCCAAACCAGCTTGTAAATACTCCCGCGCCACCTAAAAAGAGAGAGGACAGGGATTTTAGGGGCATTATTCATGCTATCTTGTATAGTATGTGTTATATACAAAATACAAACCTGAAAAGCAATTTCAGAAAGTTGCTTATCACCTTTGAGGTGTTTACGTTGGCCGTATAGGTCACAGTCATTCTTAGGGAACGGTCAAAATTGTAATAGTTCTGTATAGAATATATGTCCGAACTGACAGAAACTATGCATCAACCAGAGTGAACTTCTGACAGTGAATTCAAAGTAAATACAACAGAAAACTCAAAGGAACTCACTTTGACCAGACTACTACTTCTACATGTGGATGCCACATACATATAGTACATTTATAGGTTGCATAGTATTTTTGAATGAGATTAAACGGTTCGCATTAAATGGCTCCAACACAAAAATTAACTGTCTTCATACGACTATCCACAGTGACTCTCTGTACTTTCAACATCGTGGCAACACCTCAGAGAGAGACTGTTATCGAGAATGCAGCTCTGTGGCTTTGGCTTATGTTGCCATCAGCTGGGCTGTGCTATACCCTCATATTCCCCAATCCTAAATACTTTGTACTTTCCGAATTCACTTTCCCGAATTCACGAAACATAAAATACCTATATTATGGGATATTACTGCAGATATGACTTTGGGCAATAGATGCAGTAGTCATCGCTCTCCCCGATCTCCACTTAGTCAAAATATTCCCTATAATCCAATACTTTTGAGCAGAACTATGTGAGCAAATCCCATCTGAATGATAAGGAATAATCGTTTGGATGAGTATTTTTTATATTTATTTATGTGAGTTTCGCTGGATACACATTCACTTGCCCTTTTTCTTGCTTATGTGACTCTTATCTGTCTGGATTTCTGAGTCCTTCCGAGTGGGCCTGCCGTGGTCCTGGTCCGAACCCAACTCCGAGCTGGTTCCTGGGGCGATTTCGCCCTTCATCAGCTCCAGGGTCATGGCAGCCTGATGGATTTGACGTGTGATGCGTTCGCGTTCCCGCTCCTCCTTCAGACGATCAAAGTCATCTTTGCTTGTCTCACGGCTCAGGTGCTCCTCCTCGCCCAACTCCTCTTCGACCTGCGCAAAGGGGCCATCGGAGGAAAATGAGATTGAGATAGAGCTCCGGCTGGAGCGGAAGTCACGTGTGGCGAATCGAATGCGGAGCTCGTTCTCTTCCTCGCCCTCGTCCTCGTCATCGAAATCGGTCCAATCCTTCTCCAGGTCAAAGCTGTGAGCCTTGTTCGGAACCGATGTCACCGTGTTGATCTTGGACAGGTCCATTCTAGCTGTAGAAGCCTCCGGATGTTCGGCCCGCTGTCCCTCCGCTGCATAGGGCAATTCATTCGGGAAGACCTCGTCCCAGTACTGATCCCTAACCAACTGCGGATGATCGTTGTGCATCTCGTCCACGATTAGGTAGCTCACTTGAAGATTGCGATCGATCAGCCAGTTGAGCTCAAAGTCATCGTCGTCATCCCCGAAGGGACAGATCAGCGTCTCGGCCACCTTCAGCCATCCCATGAAGAAGAAGAACTCTAGGGTGCTGAAGAGCGGAAAGTAATAGTTGATCACGTTCGTATATCTGCTCCCGGAGGCCAACTCCCTGTCGATCCACTGATGACCAAATATGGCGGCCATGAAGTACGTATAAACCGCCAGGGTCACCACCTGCGTATAGACCAAGGGAACGCTAATAGTGTCATAGTGGATAAGCATGTTGCAGCCAGCCCGAAACTTGTTGAGCTCATCGATCATGGACTTCAGGGAGAAGTCGTCCCAGATGCGTCCCTCCTTCCTGGCACGCGTCACAATGCTGCTGGCCCACATGATGGGCATCCAGTACTTGGGATGCTTGGGAAACTTGGCGTCCATGGCCTTGATGATGTTCGCCTCGTTCGCGTTGAGCATGCCAGCCTCAATGAGGTAGTCATAGTTGGGGAACCGCCGCTTAATAACCGGCGATATCATTGACAGGACCATTGTCAGGGCAAGGCACACATATCTCATGATGGTGCGACGCATGAGTCGTCCGTGCTCGTCCTGACCGCGTACCAGGGCACTCACATACACCGCCAGGGGATCCGGCCAGGGCACTGTGATGTACTGATTCCACCAGCGATCAACAATGATGGACACGTAGAAGCCCAGCACAAATGAGAGGGGTATCAGGGTGCCATAGCTGTGGCAGTACACGACAATGTCCTCGAAGATCCTGAAAATCATATATGTGAGCGGCTTATGGTGGGTGGGGTGGGGCAAACACAAACTCACTCTTTGTCACTATCCCTGAGGACATAGCGGTACAGCAGGGCCATACAATAGAAACTGGCCAGAAACGCCAGAAGATCCACCCATATAATCTTGTAGATACTCGCACGCCATCTGCCGATTACGTAGACGTAGATTACGTAGACGATTCGAAGCACCGCTCTTTTTGGAACAATCAAAGATATCTTACCTGGCCAAGAGTTTCCAAAAGCAGCCAAAGTGACGGCAGGAGGCCACCTCAGCTGTGTACGAAACAGTCATATTCGGTGTTCCGATTCGAGAACTTTAATACAATATTCCTGGGACACAGACTAAAATGAATCGATTGTGGCAATACACAAGCACTTTGTGAGGCCATAAGCACAGCCAACTTTGGAATTAGTTTGCTTGGGGGCAATTTTCCTACTCAAGCATTAAACGAAGGCATCTCGGTAGGCGCGTCACATTTGTGGGCGTAATTATTTAAATTGGATCATTTATATTTGCCACAAGGCGGTAGACAACACATACCCAATTTTCCAAGCCAGCCACCACACTTCCAGACATGTGATAAAGTTTCCCATCCAACTCTTCCTCCTTTCATACATATACATATGTACATATATGTAAATGTACATGTACATGTACACTGGTAGGTCTGTCTGATAGCATTACATAAATAGGTGCAGTAAAATTTTAATACCCTGGCAAACATTTTTCGTAGAATGGCAGTGAAATTTCCCCACTCCACCACAAGGGAAAGTGTGAAGAAAATTTTGGGCATCTGATTAGCTTTGGAAGCGTGCATTTGTTGTTATTGCTGACACAGCCAATACGTGTAAAGTAATCCCCAAAACGAAAATAAAACGTGAAAATAAATAAAAGCACGTGACGCACTGACGAAGTTTGATTCTTGGCCAATCAGTTAAGAGATAATATAATACGATTAGTTGATATTGTTTGAGCCCCTCGGTTCCTCTGCACAATCGAATGCTGAAATGAATCCGTTTCAACTTCTTCCACGATTTTTCTTGAATTGTGTAATTAGTTTAGATAAGAGAGCCGTCTTATAACGATTCCAATTATATTCGGCTAGGCTTCTTTCTACATAAATACACATGTATGTATGTACATAAATGTGTACATAAATTTTGCTTATAGAATAAATAGCTTTTGGCCATTATACATATATTTTTGTTTTGTTTTAATAACTGATGCGTTTATTCATTTATTTCGGAGGAGTAGAAAAGTAGTCTATTGAAAATGTAAATAAGTTCATGCAAATACCGAAGATACGAGTATGTAACAATATTGAGACTGCTCATGTTCGTGGTTTGACAAATTATATTCAGTGTCTGATATATAATTCACCATTATAAATCACTCTTCATATGTACATATGTATGTACAGTGGAAGTTCGGAAATTAGAACCCACACAAATTATAACTTTTCAGAAATTAGCAACAACCCAGGAACCAAGTGGTTCTATGATTTCCGAACTTCCACTGTAAATACATACATATGTATGTATGTATGTACCTACAACTCAACTCAATTGTTCTAGTCTTGTAATATACATATATACATATGTATGTATGTATATCCAATTGATTAATAAAGTTGTATACAATTAACTATGATTTCCGAAGCCGATATTAGTTAGTTCAACGATGATCTGCCGTATTAGTAAACGTATAAGTAAACATGTATTTACAGTTGCACGACATACTCAGCCAAATCTTTATTCGAAGTTTCATTCTCTTCCTCTCAATGTCTATGAAGCGCATCCAAGCTTATCAACCGACTCGACCACTTCATAAAGTGTATAAATTGACACTCGACAACCAATAACAACAATTCTAAAGCGCATCTACATATGTACGAGTGTGTATATGTGAGTGCGTGTGTGCGATATTGTTCCATTCCACTATACACGGGTACTACGAGTGGAATACGAGCAAACACATACACAACAAATACGAGTATGCCGAGGCCTCTCCTCTCGTATATATCAGGCAGAATATTATCTTACACTTTCAGTTAACGTTATGCGCTGAAAACGTCAACAACAGAGGGACACAGAGCGAGTGAGGGAAGAGAGCAACGTGCAACAGGTACAGGGGAGTGAGCGAGAGTGTGAGCAAGTTACGGTACGTACGTTAAAATCTGCAGCCGGTAACGGTAGATCGGACATAAAGTAAAAGAAAACATAAAACAATAATCTAATCTAAAACAACAGTTTGAAGAGCGCGGAGGGTGGGTGCGCCGGGCCGAGCAGAGGGGAGTGAGTGCGGTAAAATCTGTTGTTTCGCTATCGCAAAGATCATAAAACGCAAAAGGGAGACAACAAGAGCAAAAACGGCATACGACGTCACACGGCGTGATTCAGAGCAGCGGTCGCGGCAGCATCTTCCCGTTCTCCCTCTCTCCCACCATATCTGCTAATTTGTTGCTGTGGCTGCTGTTGTTGCACTCGCTCCAATTACAACCCAGATCATCTACCTCTCTCACTCCCCTCGCCACACCTGACTTAGGTGATCGTGGGGAGGGAGTCGTCTCTTATCAGTTTGCTTCGGGCACACACAAGCTGCTTTTCCGCTCTTCGTCCCCCCTACCTGATCTTGGCTAGGCGACGGCTACCGCTCTCATCCGGCTGAGGTTCGGCTTCGTCTTATCTTAAGAGTAATACGAAGATGAATTCGCGTCTGTAATACTAGTCCGACACCCGCGGTGGCCTGGTCAGGGCAGTCCAAGACAGAGACAGAAACAGAAGCAGATCGGCAAGTGTGTCAGTCAAGTCACACGCTATTGTCCATTTTTGTCCATTTCTGTATTGTCTTGTGTAAAAAATATTTAATAAAAGACTTTCCATTCCGATAATAAACAACTATAAGCGCTGGACACAATTTTCTAACGCCTGGTAAGTGTTTTAGTGGCAAATTCTGATGGCAATTATATAAACCTAGCATAAGTTTCCATTCGACAAGCCCCACCTGTGAGAAAATCCACTTGCTGCTAATTATCTTGATATGCAAAAAGAGAACAGTATAATATACGTAATAGAAATACAAACAGAGTTGGGGAAGATATCTTGAGCATCTGATCGTATCACTAAGTGAGTGGGTGGGCGAGTGCTTTGCTTAGGCACTGTTAGAGGAGGAACCGTAGGCGCAGGGCCGCTGAAAATAAATATCCTGGTAAAATATATCCATTCTGACAGTCTGTCCCCATCAAACGTTCCCCGCCGCTAGAAATAGGGAGAAGTTTATCTATAAATTTTGAAAAAAAGTCCACTAGAAACTCCCCAGACTTCAGTCTCGTCCCTGCAAATTGTGTGGTACAAAACGTATACCCAGTTCTAAGTAGAGCAACCGAGTTCGAATTTGATGCTAACAATAGCCTCGCCTCACCCCGGCTGGGGCTATTATTACGATTACAATTTGAGCTCAATTATTTGCATCGTATAATCGAAAGCTTCGCCAAGATAAGACATTGGAACAACACATATGTACGTACATATGTACATAGATCGAAGTGCATCATGATCTTGGTACATCGATTGGGTGTACATTCGTGTACATACCTCAGCTAAGATGGAATTTTTTCGCTTTCCAGCTTCAAGGTTTAGTGAACTTTTTGCGCACTGAGAGAGAGAGATAGAGAGAGAGAGAGACGGAGCGAGATGGTTCAACATTTGTCTCCTTGGAAGGTTCTGACACGACGGAAACATATCCAGGCCGATGGCAGCGAGGGCGAGACCAAGCTGAACCGGGTGCTGGGACTATGGGATCTTACGGCTTTGGGTGTCGGCTCTACTTTGGGAGCGGGGGTCTATGTGCTGGCCGGACAGATAGCCAAAGATCAGGCGGGTCCCTCGGTTATGATCTCGTTTGCCATAGCTGCTCTGGCCTCCCTGCTGGCAGGTAAGGATACACGTCGATCTCTGTCGTCTGAGTAATTTCATTCGTTCTCCGACTTTAAGGCATTTGCTATGCAGAGTTTGGCGCGCGAGTCCCCAAGGCGGGCTCGGCATATGTGTACAGCTACGTCTGCATTGGAGAATTCGCAGCCTTTGTGATTGGCTGGAATCTCATCTTGGAATATGTCATCGGCACTGCCAGTGTCTGTCGAGGGATAAGCTTGTACCTGGACGCCCTCCTGAATGATACGCTGAAAGAAACCTTTGCCGAGGTGGCCCCCATGAGTGTCACGTTTCTTGGCAGCTACTTTGACTTTCTTGCATTTGGATTGGTGGTCGTGTTTGGTGGTATGTTCCGGAAAAGGTTCTCTTCAAATAGATTGCTTAATTTCTGACTCCGTTAGTGGCCCTGGCCTTTGGCGTGGAGACCTCGACAATGGCAAATAATTGCATCACGTGTCTGAACATCTTTATACTGGCGTTCGTCGTCATCGCTGGCGCTATCAAAGGTAAAATATTTTATTCTGTGCGTATTTCGCATCACTAAGTCGATCGCATTTCCTTCCCAGCTGACTTTACCAACTGGACAGTGGATCCATCGACTGTGAGTGCTAATGCCACTATTGGAGCTGGAGGCTACTTCCCCTACGGCTTCGAGGGGACGCTCCAGGGCGCTGCCACCTGTTTCTTCGGATTTGTGGGCTTCGACTGCATCGCCACCACTGGGGAGGAGGTTCGCAATCCCCGCAAGAACATCCCACAATCGATCCTTCTCTCCCTGCTTATAATCTTCCTGTGCTACTTCGGCGTCTCCACGGTACTGACCCTGATGCTGCCCTACTATCTGCAGGATGGCAATGCCCCGCTGCCGTACGCCTTCGAGTACGTGGGTTGGCCGGTGGCCATGTGGATCGTCACGGTTGGTGGCCTGATCGGACTCTTGGCCAGTCTCTTTGGGGCCTTGTTTCCCCTGCCCCGTGTTATGTATTCGATGGCACAGGATGGTCTGCTCTTTCGGTTCCTGGGCAAGGTGAGCCCGCGATTCCAAGTACCTGTGACCGGATCGATTGTGGCCGCTCTCTTTACGGCCGTCATTGCGGGTCTGTTCGACCTGGCCCAGTTGGTTAGCCTTCTGTCCATTGGCACTTTATTAGCCTATAGCGTGGTAGCCATTTCCATAATGCTGCTCAGGTACATGGAGTACTATGAGGCGGAGGAAAACCAGCCGCGGATTGACAGTCGAGCTTCGGAAACCACTTCATTGACCTCCCGCGCGGAGCGTTTCACTTGCGGCTCGGTCTGCACGCAACTCTTCAACGTTCATCGCGTCCATGAGCCCAATATGATATCAACCAGAATTGTGGGAATACTTACTGCACTTTTCAGTGAGTATAAAGATTAAGGATGGAAGATGAAACGTAAAAATCGATGTTTTTCAGGTCTTCTTGCCCTGGGTCTGGCCCTGCTGATTATGCACGCATATTCCGCGATCAGATCCCAAACAGCGTGGGCCCTAACTTTGCTGGTGGTGTTAGTCGGACTGATCTGCCTTACCCTCCTGCTGATCTGTCTGCAGCCTAGGGAAGCTCGAAGTCGGCTGTTCAGAGTGCCCTTTGTCCCAGTTGTGCCGGCCATCAGCATCTTTATTAATATTTACCTCATGCTGCAGCTAGACAGCTGGACATGGATACGCTTTGGGGTGTGGATGATTGTGGGTAAGCTTGCGATGCGCCTCATCTCATTCAACTGCTGAGCATGTAGTAGACTAATGCATGCCACTTCTTAAACTAACCTTGTATTGAACGCACTGTCTGTACTAACTTAGGTATGCCCATATTCCTTGCATGCTGGTATCTTTACGACTGTAAGAATCCACAGAAACGCAATCCAGATCGCCTGGCCTACTATACGGCCCTCAGAGGACCTTCGACAACTATATGTAATGGTCTGTCCAAGGAAAGCATAATAGCCCAGGACAATCACTTGAAGAGCAGTTCCTGCAGCAGCCTGGATCGAATACAGAACCTAAGCGAGGTGGGAGAAGACCTCATCGAGGTGAAAAATGCCAATGGAAAGATCTTCTATGTGGAAGACACCAAGAGCGAGAACTCCACTGCGACCTTGGGTGGGACTGAATCACCCTCTCGCGAGGACGAACAGTCTGTTATAGCAATGCTGGATGATGTCCTCGACGCTGAAGACATACAGCAACAACAACTTGAGCTGGACCAGCAGAATCACATCTTTGAGCGCCACTTCAGTCTGGACTCGGAGATGTACCCGAGTGTGATAGAGACCGTCATCGTGGCCACTGTGCATAGTAGTAGTGAGGATGACGAGGTGGTCAGTCAGCAGTCTTTGGGGTTGCGAAAGTACGATGAATGCCGAGTGTCTGCTCAGCAAATGCTCGATGAGATGTTCAATAGCGTGGTCTTCTTTGAGCAGCTTGAAGCAGCCGTATCAGCCCGAGAAGAGGCTGAGCCTGCGGAGGAAAACGATGCAAAGGATATTATTATAGACAATCCGAAACTTCGGCGCCTCGAATCCGAGACGTCCCTCAGGTCCCAGGCCTCGGCCATCGAGGATCCCATGCACTCAGACAAGTTTAAAGACCGCTTGAGCCACATCATTATGAATGTCAGCGCCCACAAGGTGAATACAGCCATGAAGAGGAAAAAGGACCCCGAGCAGGAGCAGGAGGAGGAGGACGAGCCTCAACCAGAGGCAGAACCAGCGGTAAGGCCAGAAAGGCCGCTGTTAAAGCAATCGAAAAGTGAAACCGATGTGCGTCGGTTGATGCTCAAGGCCATCAGCGAGCTAAAAATCAACCATAATGATGGTGGTAATGTTGACGAGGTCTCCTCCAATTCATATTCCACCCAACCCACCTCATCGGCACAGTATCCGACCAGCAGCATCGGCAACACGGCTGGGCGTATTCCTCGGCCACCGAAATTCGATCCAATTCTGTACAAGACCATCAACAGCATTAGTTTGCGCAAACAGCGACCCAGTTTGAGCCAACAGCATGTTGTGGATGCCAAGAACCTAGAGGTAGCAGCAACTGTAGCTTCCTCAACGGAACTAGAGCCGGAGCCAGGGCAGGGGCCGGAGCCGCTTTTGGTCCCATTCAAAGTGAAATTGGAGGCCATATTGCAGCGCGGACCCTCGCACCGCACCCAACAGCATCCGGACCCTGTCCGTCGTCAGCGTCCCCAGTCGACCCATGTTGAGGCGGAGACAGGGGAGGCGGAAAGCTGAATGAGGCTGTTGTGTGGAGTGGAACCAAAGAGTGTGCAATTTTCCCAGCTAAAAGTAGTTAAACTTTCATGTGGAATGCAAATGTAGCTAGAGTGTACAGAGCTGTATGTAAATAGTTGAATGCAAGCAATTTTAGATAATATTAACAAAGAATTTGTATGGTTGTATATTTGAAACTGGAGGATCTTAAGAACTTCCAAAATCTCTTAAATCTCAAACTATGCAGTTCCCCACGCATGTCCCAAGGTTCTATTAAAAAAAACACCCGGGGATTGTGATGGTAGAAAATGTAACTTGGGGAATTAAATATATGTGTGTTTGTATTATAATATTATTAATTACACACAATCGTTTACCATACTGAAACTAGTCGTAGACTATAAAAAATATTTAGTAAAATAAATGTGGTATAATAAGGTTGAAAGCAATTAGCCAAATGCATGCCTGAACTATTTAATCTATAAATTGAACTAATTCGTTTTCTATATATACATATATGTGTAGGACTATCCATATACTTTCTCTATGGCCTGCCCAACAGCTACAGAGACTTGCGACGACAAAGGGCTGGCTGGCAGAAGCTCAAATACAGCGAACGTCTCTGAAAAATAATCCAGAAATAAAAATAAAAAATAAAAATATTTATAGATCTATGGATCTTCATGAATGTCAGTACATGCATACACACAATATGTGAATGGATCACTAAGATAACATGATAAATTGTGAACAATTTGTTTGTTATAAATAAATTAAACTAGATGTAATTAATGGAAGTCAAATGTTTTACCTGATTGGGAGAGAAATGGAAGAAAATATATGTTGAGAGCAACTGCGGCCGATTCCGCTTCCGGAATCGACCCCCGGATGATCATTCGGAGAGCGTGTTGTAGTATTAATAACCCAATGAATTGGGATCGTTCATTCTCGTTTAATTCCCAGTGGCCTTGTCTCAACTGGTCGTATCTCCCAAGGTTCGTGCACTGGCTGACTTTGATAAATTAATTTATTTCGCCTGATCGTCTCTCTGAGAATTCCCCTTCTTCAGAGTTGCCCTCCCTCGAAAAACCCCTTCCCCAAATATTTGGTATTCCCTTTTGCTTTCATTTTGATTAGTCTGAAACATCCCCTTGGGCTGAGGTTGTATTTTGTAGTACATAATGCCTTCTCTCCCCTTTGGCCCTACACTTACACTGTCCTGATTTATGCGGACGTTCGTTGGGGCATTTCTTTGGTCAGGTCGCTCGAGCTGTTGATGCCAGTCTAGAGATTTGTCTAACCACAAGCCGAAACAACTGGCGACTGTTTGGCGACCCATCTCCTTACCAGAGCTGGATCAGTCTGGTGTAGTATGGAATGCTTTGGTATTGTTCCAGGGAGGATGACGACGATTGTGCTGCGTAAGTGTAACAAATTGTAATCGTATTTGGCGGGGACTTTGTCTGGGGCGTGCCCCAGAGTCTCCCCCGCTCTATGTGCCATAGTACAGCTCCCCTCGGCGTGCCCTGCTCCCCTATGCTTTGCTTTATTATTATTAACTTTGTTATGGGCCAAAGAGGAGTTGAAGAAGCTGCCTCAGAAGTCGTCCGGTGGTTGTTTTGGTTGTTTGCTACACTTGCTCCCTGGCTGTCCGCCCCCTTTATCTAGCCAACCGTTCAAATAGTTTTATGGCATATTTATGGGCGCCAAAACTTAAAGTTTCTTTGGCTAAGACTTTAAGACTGACGGCAGTCAGGTTGGTGGTTGGGGGTCCAGGGTGTGGGCGACGGTGAGGGTAAGGGTGAGCCTGGAAAGCACTGACATTCGGACTCTGTGATAAATCGGCAAAAAGCGAAGCTAATTATTGTAAAGGGAGAATCTGGAGAAAAGAGACAGCTTATGATATAACATTCTATTGCGAGTACGCAAAGTCTTGGGGAGAAATACCAGCACGAATATGAAAAGTTTATATGGAATGGATACGGATACAACAGATAAGATATGGGAATGTTTTCGTGCAAAAAGGGGGGACAAACAAATAATCTTAATCTTTCTTAATATCGCTTCGTAAAGGAACAATGAACGCATATTGCGGGATAATATTAGGACCCATTTCTAGGTAAAATTCATTCATCTAGCACTTACATATGCATGTACATATGTATGTACACGCATTCATATATGCTATGGCATCGATACTGACTTCGAATTCTTTTTCTAGACTTTTTCCATCCATGACTAGGGAGCACTAGGCCACGCTTTGGCCACTTGGAAAACAAAATGAGTAGGTTAGCATCCAGTTTAGATGTGAGGTTAAGCTTAGTTACCTTCTCTCACCAACTCCGGGACAATTCCTTTGAAAATTTTCTTCTCCAAATGAGTTGGCGTAATCGTTGGAACTTCCCCTGTTTTCCACCTTTTTTGTTTTGTTTTGGTCTTTTGGTACTCAGTGATCATCTCTTAAAACATTCAGCTCCTCTCAGTATGTTTTCCCCGCACGGAGTACCTATAGTATTTATGTTTGAAGTAAGTCGGTTAGCTTGCTATTATTTTTGTTTCCTTTTGCTGACTAAAGCAGCTTTTTCATATTCATAAAAATTGCGAGTTTTACCATTTCCTCTAACCGGTGGTCCTGGTCTAATTCTCATTCAGGGTCCACAAACATTCATACTGCAACAAAAAGTAATCCTCTTAGCGTTGCAGGACAATTCTCAGCGTATTCGTTCGACTATGGTCCAATCTCTCTGATTTTCTCGTACGTATTTTGCTTTGCTGCTGAATTGTTTCGAAAATTAAAATATGTGACAGAGGGTGGGGGTTTAGCCAAAAACGGAAGTGGTCACCATGATTTTGTGGAAGGGCAGGTAGAAGAATACTGTAATTTCGAGTGCTGCAGTTGCAGCTCCTGCTCCCGACTCTTCGTCTGCCTCTAACCAAAGTCAATGGCACTCTACAAAAACATTTTGTGAAAACAACGAAGGCGGCTGCTACTGTACGCAAAGGGGATCAGTTGATTTGTCCGAAAAAAATCCATCTGTAGTCAGAAGTGACAACTACAATAGCCAACTGCTGCACAGATGCAGGCAGACCAGGGCGGAAGTCTCTCCAAAAAAAAAAGGATTAGCATTTTGGTGTAGCTGTTTTCCCTATTCGCCATGACAACAGGACCAACAACGGATATCGTCTATGTCAAGGTTTGGGTTCAAAGTGGATCGAGTCCCTGTGGTCTGTGCGTACTCGTACATATGCTAGGCAGGAAATTTAGTTCGCATTGATACTTTTCCTGAGTGGATCTGGATTGGTTAAAATATTTGGCCCCAGCTAAATTAACTAAAATCGTTAAGTAAATAGAGATCACTCTCGCTTTTCGGTTGGCCGAAAGATACGCGATTCAAATCAAATGTATAAATTGTTTGCATGGGGCTTGTGGGCAGCTTTTCTTTAAAACTTTTTTAGTGTATGTACGTTTTTAAATTTCATTAAGTGGATAGGAATCAACCTAATAAGTTCTGTTTAATAAAGGTGACCTTCATTTCAGTTTTCGGATATTGAATATCCCCGCACATCCTTGGTCAGGGTGTGTAGTGTAGTGTAGTGGTGGTGTGCACCACTCAGTACCCCCAGCGAAAACACGGATTATTTGAAGTTCAAATAAATTTAAGTTGGAAATGTATCTATAAAATAGCTCACATGCTTAATGAACTGATTAATTCCGCAAATAATGATAATTGCTGATTAATGATTCCAAGTTATGATGTTAATTCAAAGTATTTGCATTTTATAACTGATCCATAGAATTTTCCGTATGCACCTTCCTTAAGTATTGGTGCTCGTTTTTTATCTTGTAATCTCTAATAGGTTTTGATCAATTCCAATTGAGCATATGGACATTCCATTGACTGTAGCGTGTACACACCTTCTTAGGAAGTTGGATAACTGCAATTGTTCCTTCATTAATAATCTCTCAATTTATTAGACACCTTGCCAGTTGTTAATCAAAACTGTTTTCTTGATTAGTAGAGCATTCCGTTTGATGGTTAAGCCCTTTTCGAGGAGACTCTGTATACTCTCATTGTTCAACAAACAATTATCTTTTATTCACCCGTGTGGCTCCGTCTACTCCTTGGGTGCTCAACATAATTGCTCCTTTGTCATTTCCCACAACACAAGAAGAAAAAAAAAACTGAAGAATAAAGCAAGGGGAGGAGAGAGGAATGTGATAGCTGGCGAGAAAATAATACGAGTACGCTGTTGATTTTCTACTCGACTTCAATTGATTTTTACGAGGTCTCTCCTGTCTCTCATCATACATCTTGTTAGGGACAAATGGTGAGTGCTTGCCCTAACCTTTCCTACTCCGCCTTCTTCATCTGAAAATATATTTTTTCAAATTTGTCCTTTCCTTCTTCATCAATTCTCATCGTGCCTCGGGCATTCGAAAATTTTTAAAGAATAATAATATTTACAAAGCCACGCACAATAGTAGCTCAGGGCAGAATGGGACGGGACAGAGCAGGATTCTAGGATGGGGCATTGTTTTCGCATTCAATTCCCTGACAACAGGCATTATTGAGAATCTGAAATGTGGCCAATGCACACACACAGGCTCAGTCTCCCTCAACTGCCCTCTCCCTCTGTTTGAGTGTGAGTGCGCTTAGAATGTTAACCAAGCCAACCAAGCAATTCAAATTCAATTTGCCCCATTATGTGAGGCCCATTGTTCCTGGCTAAATTCTTCGGGGCTGAGAGGCATTGCGGGGCATTCAGAGAGAGCCAGGCCAAGACTGCAAGCCAAGTTAAGTGCAATACAAAAGGCAGTCAGATTAAAAATGTGCAAAAGACACCCGAGAAGGAGACATTGAGAGAGTGAAAGAGTGAGAGAGTGAGTGAGAGAGAGGGAGATATGGAAGGGAACCACTCGTAAAGCTAAATGAATGCAATAAGTAAATAACAAAATGTCGTTACCATTTTCTGACGCACTCACTCTCACCAGCTACACTTCTCTTTCTTTCTGTCTCTCTCTTTTTCTCTCTGCCTCCCTCTATCTGATTCTCTCTTTTCTCGCATCTTTTCAGTTCTCCAGAACAATGGGAATGTCAGCATTTGCAGTTGCAGTTGCATTTGCCGTTGACATCCTGGCCTGGCCCGAATGTAGACAACCCAACAGCAACAGGAACAGAAACAGGAACAAATTCTCCCTTCTCACAGCTGTCAGCGTCAGCGGCAACAAATTGCGCGCAAAGTTCGCATTAGAAAAGAGGGCGAGAGTCGAGGGTTGAGGGATACCCCACTGGAGGTGAAGTTGCAAGTAAGTGCAGGAATCGGCCTATCCTTATGGGAGCCAAACTGCAAAATGCGACAGTTGAATGCACTTTTTAATTATTGAAGGGCTATACAGAGGAAATGTCTAAACAATGCAATCGAATAAGGAAGAATCGTGGGGTACAAATATATTCCGTGTATTCATGGAGTAAAGTCTTCTTTTATACTGTTTATTACATCAAAGTAAGCTAATCTTTTAAGTCCATTTTATTATTATTATATTCTGGATCGTTTACAAACAACGAGTATATTTAAATTCCGTACTCTGGTTCATTCCCTCCTCATATCATCCTACTTTGGATCTCATTTTCAATTAAAACTGTTCCTTTTATTCCTTCTGCTACTGTTACAAAACAATCCACCGACTCTAATGTACCCTTGTGGAAGTATTGGGCTTTCATTTTAGGTCCGCATGGCGCTCGCTCATTTGCCAGCGGCAGGAGGAGCTTCATCATCGTCATCCTCATCAGGAGTCATCATCAGCCAGCAGTCAGCATTCAGCACATCAAGTGGCAATCATATTAACTGGCTTAATTGTCAACACATAGCCAGAAGCAGGAGCAGCCGCAGAGGTAACTCCCCCTCCTTGTTACGGGTGCCAGCTTGTTAACAAGTTGCCAGGAGCTGTTAATGGTTGCTAGTTTGGGAGTAGGAACGGGAGGAACGGGAGGAACGGAAGGAGTGAAGCCTGAAATTCCTGATTACAGTAACAAATGTGCGAATTACAAATGCTCATTAGCCGCAATTTTTCGGCACTCAACGTGTGGTTTGCTATTGGCAGTATAAATGGGAACCGGAATGGGAATGGGAATGGGAAAGGGAAAGGCCATGGTTAGTTAGCAGTTAGAGACATTGATCTACTGCCATTCCATGTTTGCTCTGAAGCTCTGACATATGACAAACTTATCCATGCGCTCACACCCATCACAATTCTGTTCAGAACCCAAATCTGTGCTTAGGACAATCGCCATTCTCAATTCATTTTTAGTATCCCGAAACGCACAAGAAGTTTCGAGTGCAATGGTGGGGGGGTGGTGAGCGTAGGAAACGCAAAATGCTGCAACGTGCCAAATGACAAAATAGGAATTTCTGCTTCTGCTGCCATGGCACTAGTCAACAAAGAGATTCGTCGTTAACCACCAAATCCCGACCACCCACTCAGCAGGAGCAGCACCATCGGCACCATCGGCACCATCAGCACCGCAGCAACATCATCATTCGCCATCAGCATCCTGTCTTGTCTTCGCGTACTTGTCTCTGTCAAGTTGTATGCAAACTAATCACACGCAAGCATTTGATGCGTTTAAAACACACACCCGCACAATTGAGGCAGACACACATTGTACACTCCAATGTTCATACACAGGGATAGACATTCAGACGGATGGCTGATGGTAGTCCTATATATGGATAGATAGAGAGGGGCGGAGATGAGTAATTGCGTCTGTCGGGGGGGTGACTTAAAGTTTTGAATGAAGAACACGACGAATCTGATACATTATATGATATTAAGTAGCTATGGACCTAGCACCTGTTCGTTATATCAGATTCTAATTATAAAAATGCTTTGGGCCCAAACTTCTAACTTCTAGCTTTCGAAAATATTCCACAAACTTATTAATCCCTCCGCTCAATAAATACAGTAGACAACCTATGTACATATGTATGTATGTATGGCGTGGCTGGCTTAGAGACCGAGAGACAGACATATTCGTGTGCAGCGAATGGAACAGAGAGAGGGTCTAGCTAGTGTGTAGACTCTCCCGAAGCTGTTCATATGTATCTATGTATGTATATTATAATGTTGGTAATTTAAACATTCCAAATCAGATCTAAACGTCAGCTGGTTAGCAGCTGCGGTTCATTGCCGGGGGGAGCCAACGGGAAAAAGAAAGGCGGTTGAAGGGTGTGCGAGAGAGAGAGAGAGAGAGAGAGGAAGAAGTAGCTGGATGAGTCGCCAAATGGAAATTGTCAGCAGCATTGAAATGAAAGTGGAGATTGGAAAATGGCAGCAACAGCAGCTCCACTAGAACCAGAACTAAAACGAGACCAAAGCCACAAGGCAGTTTTGATGAGAAGCAGTTGGCTCTCCGTTCCCTCGTCTCTGCTACTCCGACACGCTGCATAATAAATTGACTTGTAAATGCAATAAATTTCCTATTGAGCCGCCCCTTCTGGCAGAAGGGAAGACAAGGAACTGAACTCAAAACGCTTTAAGCA